ATCCGGAGTTCATAGAAGACAATAGGGCTAAAATAAAAAACATTCTCTTCAAAAACGCATATCCCAGCGGAGTAATAGAGACACTAATAACAACAGCGATAAATAAAATGAAATGCAATAACAACATAACAATAAATAAAAATAACACGAAAACATACACAGGCGTCGCGTATATACCCAACCTAACGGACAACAAAACATTGGGCAAAAGTATTAAAAACAATAACATATGCTATGCGCATAAGCCACATAACACGACCAGATATATTTATACCAAAACAAAGGACAAAATTAACAAGGAACAACTACACAATGTAGTCTACGAAATATCGTGCAAAGGAAATGAAGGCGAAAGCTGCAATAAAGTATACATTGGAACAACGAAGAGAGCATTAGGAACCAGAATCAACGAACACAAACTTAACGCCAAAAATAAGAAAAACACCACAGCGTTAGCGCAGCACTTGACCACAAACAATCACACAGCAGATTTCGCCAACGCTAGAATTTTAGACGTGGAGAACAGAACTAAAAAGCGGATGACATTAGAAGGGCTACGCATACAACAAAATATATGTAAAGCAATGAACTACAAAGAAGATGTTGACAATATAAACTGTGCATATGCTACTGCAATAACACACAATGTTTAACTATCGGAAGATAAAGAAGTTGCTAAATGTTAAATGTGGTGTCCGGAAAATGTATTTATGTCGTTTTTTTTAAATTGTGAATAATTAAACTAAATTTTATGTTAATGTAAGTCAAATATGTTGAAATCTAACTATGTTTGTATTGTTCTAAATAATTTTGATTGTTACTAATAATGTTTTTCGTTTTTGCAAATTAATAAACAGACTCCCTGAAGATGACGCGAAAATGCGTCGAAACGCGTAGGAGAAAAAAATAAACTTTGTTTTTATTTTCAACACACCGGCCGAAAAGCTCCAAATACAAATACACAAGAAAATATTTTGGTTTCCCCATAAGATTAACATTACAATCTAATGGCCTTATTCATAAAAAATAAAGTAGGTTTAAAGAGCTTTATAAAGTGACGTTTTCATAAATTTTTCAATTTATAAACCTTTTTTAAAGCTATTTAATTTTTAATTAATAAGGCTGCAAATATTTAAGACGTTTTTTCTCGAACTTAGGTTTTTCGACTTAGGCGGTTAATGCTTATGACCACAGATTTTTATTATTATTATTACTAGTATTATTATCATTATTATCATTATTACTATTGTTATTATTATATTAATTATTATTATTAATATATAACTGTGATATGAAGTACAATTTAATTTAATTTTACAAATTTTTCGTTAGTTTATTAAAGACGCAATCAGTATTGTATTGAAATCGAATTTTCTGAATACATACAAAATATGCCATATTTTTCAACGTTATTAATTTCTTGAGTGGAATACTTCTACTTACCTTTTAACCAACAGTACAAGAAATTTAAATAAAAATTAAATTTTTTCTTTTTTATTTGTATAGTGATAATGCTCTACAACAAACTTTCTGCGAGCCTTTGCCTGATGTTTCTCGCTTCAGGTGATACGTTACCCCCGAATTCTTCTACGTATGCAACATCATCCTCTTAAACTTGTACCCACTCATCTTTGTAAAATATACAAATATTGTGTAAAGCGCAACATACATTAATAATTTGGGTTGTCTTTTCCGGACTGTAATGCAACCCTCTTTCCCCAATTATGCAACGGAATCTGTTTTTTAAAATTCCAAAACACCTTTCTACAACGTTGCGGCCTTTGCACAATTTCATGTTGAATTGTGTCTTAGTTTGATTGCCAGGACTACGGAAAGGTCTCATCAGGTACGGCATAAGCTGGTAACCGGAATCTCCTAAACAAGTTAAGGAAAATTAAAATTGAAAAATACAGAAGTAAATGATTAGGAGTTTCCTTTTGTCTTACCTAAGAGCCAAGTGTTTCGGTTACCAGAGTCAAACTGTGACTTGAAAAAAACTCCCGCCCTGCTTGCACTCCAAACAAATGCGTCGTGGTTTGAGCCTGGATACCTGGCGTCAACGTATCGTATGCAAAGTACATGATCACAAATCTTAAATACATACATATGTACGTAGAAATTAGTTTCCTTAGTAAAAATAAGCAAAAATCACTTACTATCATTGCATTTATACTATAATAGCCTTTCCTATTATAATATAAATGCTTTGTGTCCTCACTTGGGCATTTAATCTTAACGTGGGTTCCATCGACGCATCCAACTATACCCGGTATCCCACATTTGACATAAAAAGTTTCTTTGGCAGCGCTTTCCTCTTCTTCTGTCATCCTCAGCTTTATCCAATTTGGACAAAAATTTGTTTCAAAAATTTCCAAGCACTCTGTTATGGCATTGCTAACCATTGGCTGGGACATGCTGGATAGAAACTCATTTTCGACGCCTTTTTGGTAGCTGCCTGTCGCCAGAAATCTTAAAAAAGCAGACAGCTTATGTATTGGCGCCACTTTGCTGCTTCTGCATCCACTAGCCATGTGTTGTGACATTTCGTCCAAAATAAGTTTAAAAACTCGCTTTGAAACTCTAAAGTTTTTTACGAACCTTAAAGGAAAATAAAGTTTATACATTAGTTTAATAACTCGCATATCGACGACTGAGTGGAAGACCACCCTATGGTTGAACAGTGGGCAATCTCAGCAAATGGTTCAGAAAATCCCTGTCTCAGCTGCTGCTTTAAAAACGCCTTATCTCACTATATATTCAATATGTATATCGGCAGCTTCAATCAAATTCTGCAATAAGGCGTTCTTCAACCCTTTGCTGAGATAAGGCGTTTTCGAACCGACAGTCGAGATAGGGCGATCTTCCACTCAGCCGAAGGTATATAATCCTTAAATAAACCTACTCTCTGTCGGGAATTTCGAGTAGATTGGAATTGTCTCGGAGCATTCGTTTACTTGCCCGCATAAAGCTCGCATTGCCTTCCTCATCACTATCGCTGGTGTCCGATAGATAGCCTCCGATCGAAAACATTATCTGTATAGAGAGCAGCAATACATATAAAACAGTTTTTACTATTTCGCGCTTTTGTTTATTTTTATTTGGTCAGCTGTTCGGCATCGCAGTGTTACCCACTCAGTGAAACACTTTTATTCCGAAAAAAAAACAATGCAAATTTTTTCGAAATTACAGCAAAAAAAAGGGTGGCCGAAGGGACTACGTAATGTGTAAACATCTGTTTGACAGTCGTAGTGACTACGCAACAGGATGAACGCGAAAACGTAAAAGGTTATATAATAGGAACTTTTTGGTGAATGTGAATGTGAGTGACTGGGACGCAAAGTGTCACGGCGTTTTACATAATTAGGCCGCTAAAGTACATAGCTATTCGTAGTATATACATATGAATGTACATAGGTTCCCATTGCATTTTGCTTTTATTTTGATGCATCAATATTTTTGCGTAAGTGAATGAACACCTACAGGAATCCACTCGCAATACCACCCAAGCTGCCGGGGGTAACTTTTACCCGCCAAGTGACTGGGCTCTGGGTGCGGGATACTAAAAGAAGGGATAGGGAACACAATAGGGAAAAACTACCGACAACTCTACTAGCCAGGTACAGGCAACAACACAGAGGATACTTATGCCGTGGTCGGGGCGTGCGTCGGTAGCGACACTTGTTGTTTAATGGACCTCTGCGCTTCGTCCGTCAGTTAGTGGAGATGCCTCCTGACGTGCCTTGGCGAGGGCTCTTCTGCAAACAGCTGTTTGCTGGGATGACCACGTCTGTGGCTGCCCGCGAGGAATTGATTGCAGAGCATTGCGTTATGCTCCTTGACTGGGAGCATCTGGGCCTCGTCGTGTAGGTGGGGTAGGTGGTGTTAGGGCGTCATCAGGAGGCATCCGGTCGCTGTTCGTAGTGCCGTGTTCTGGCAAATCTTTAGCTTCATCCACTGCGTCCTGCCAGTCCCAAGTGACCACACGGGCGCTGCATAGTTTAGAATCGGCCGGCCAATTGCCTTGTATGTGGCCAACAACGTTTTCTTTATCTTTTCCCCAAGTGCTGCCGGCCAGCGACTTGAGGACATTGTTGCGGCTCTGTAATTTCTTGACAATTGCGGTTGTATGCGCCGAGAAGGAGAGCAGAGTGTCAAAGGTAACGGGTTATTCACCGACGGTGATGTTACGCCATCAACGTGAATACCCAGTTGCAGTCTGGCCTCCTTCGTCCAGGTGGTGAATAGGGTTACCGAGGATTTCGCAGGAGATAGGTCAAGGCACCTTGCATTGAAGAAGCGAGAAAGTTCGGCGAGATAACCGTCTACTTTCGAGCACAAGTCATCAATTCCATTTCCAGACGCCATGATCGAACAATCGTCAGCATAAGAGACAATATTGACACCCTCTGGTGGTTGAGGAAGCTTTGAGATGTAGAGTTCGCTCCTATCGGTTGGAGTGAAAGGAAATAAGGGTAAAACGAAGGAATATACAAAAGAAAGTTTGTTGCGGCCAGTACGCGACATCGTTTTGGCATTTTTCTCTCGCAGCTGCACCAGTGTGACGTCACGCAAAAATTTTTCTCAAAATTCCTCTCTGATGGGCGCAATCTTTTATTATATCATTCTTGACATATACATACTGACAGATCTCTCTTAAGGGCCGTTTACATAAGACTTTTGCTTCGCTTTGCTCCATAGTTCCGCTTTGACAGATAAGTTCAATAAATTGTTTTATGAGTCTTGCTAAATAGAATGCGAGGAAAAGAAAGCGAGGCAAAGTTATGGGCAACTCTCAACTTTTGCGCGCTTTGGCAATCAGGTGTCTACATGTATATTTTCTCGTGCACTTGCATTTGCATTTAATGACAAAAATAAGGTAAATAGGAATTCGTATTGCTATTATTAATGCATATTATTATGTTGTTTTCTATTTTACAGAGATAAAATATAGAGGAAAAGGAGAACGCAGAAACTGTCAAATCGTTTATTGTAGCATACTTCTACGCTTCACGCTTTGTTGTCCAAGCTCGAATTGTCAAACAAAGCGAGGAATGTCTCGTGTAAACGGCCCTTTAGCTCTCTCCACCGGCAAATCTGCGATGACGTCATATTAACGTTACTCTCCCGAATTTCACTTCCATCAGCGCAATCTTGTATTCTATCGGTCTTGGACAGTTGTAACATACGACAATCATTTGTTCAGGCGACGATGTATGGTCATGTATAATAGTGGTATTCATCCAAACCGATAACTTTATCAAGCAGATAATCTTATAAGTTTACGCACTCTGTTACATGAACGACCTGTCTTTTCGTTTACACTTGCGACAATAGTCGTGTTTTCTTTGGTTATAGAGCACAGTATCACTAACTTTATACTACTAACACGAGGATAAAGAAATTGTAGAAACTAACTCACTAAATGGGAAAAAGTTATATTTACGAGATGATATCTAATGAAATAAATATACATATAACATGCTGCCTATTTATTTGAAGCTAGTTAAAAGAAACAATGGCAGAATGTCTTTTTGTGTATGAATTCATTTGTCACGGCTACCAAACTTTGCAGCCAAATTATCAGTGAAACAGAACAAACAGAAGGAATAATAATTGAAGGAATAAGAATTGAATTAATTGCAGAACTTGCGTGCAAAATTTTTATGCGGATCCCGATTATTGCCCAAGAAAACATAGCTGGAGTTGCGACAGAGTTGCATTGCCTTCAGTTTATTAAGTATTCAGTGAAATCGCTGGAGAAATTAATCAGAAATGTGTAAACGAGTTTCCATACAAATTATGACAGTTCATTTATAAGGTGGAACCACATTTCCCGCTCATTAAGTACCGCCGCCGAAGAAGTAGTCGGATTTCAGCGAGCCCGAAAGGACAACTGGTATGATGAGGAGTGTCAGGAAGCTGCAGAGAAAAAAGACGCCGCCTACAGGGCCACGTTGCGATCGGGCGCGCTATAGGGATATGAAGAGGGAAGCGAGACGTATTTGCCGCAATAAGAGTGAGTGCGAAGAGCTTGAAATGCTGGCCGATAGGAAGAATGCCCGAAAATTTTACCAGAGGCGATTTACGGAAGGTTTCAAGACCGGGGCGTACTCCTGTAAGAACAATAATGGCGACCTAGTAACTGATGTCCAGAGCGTATTTAAATTATGGAGGGAACACTTTTCCGCCCTACTAAATGGTAGCAGCACGGAAAGTTGTGAAGAAGAACCCGAGCCCGCCGTCGATGATGACGGAGTCGACGTTCCACCGCCTGACGCGGCAATATCGCGGCTGAAAAACAACAAAGCTGCTGGAGCTGACAGCCTGCCAGCTGAGACTGGAATTTAAGTGCGCTCTGCCCAATCCATGGCCCCTATTGCGAGTGTCGACTGGCAGTAGAATAGAAATTTGCCCATCGAGTCGATCATCTTTTATTTGGCTATTCTGTAACTTGATCGATAAAAATGTATACTATTGTGAATGGTTAACTAAATTGTAAACAGTTGTTTGTTTGTTTACATTTGTTTCTTTAGTGTTTCATTTACATCATTTTTAAAATAATTGCTTTTATTATAAAATTTAAAAAATGGATACAGTTGAAATATGGCTTAGTGATGAGGAAGATGATGTTGTAGCTAATAGATTAGTAGAGTTGGCTAAAGCAAGGAGGGAATTGCGAGATTCGTGGGATCCCTTGGAGTCGGAAGTGAAGTGTATGTACATATGAGAATTGTATGAATAGAAGTCGCGTTCCAGATGCTTCACGGTTTGTACGTTTTACAGGATTTGCAGGAAAAGCTGTTTTTCTCGTTAATAAACTTTATGGAGGCTTAAGAAATACGGTACGGTTTAGCTATTTGTACAATGATGTTGGGTATTTGTGTCCAAACGCGTGACCCGAGATTAAAAACTTTAACATAAAAGTGTAGTGAAAGAATTAAACTTTAATTTAAAATAAAGATTTCAAATTTCAAAGCATTAGTTAATTAATAAATTATGCAGTTGCTTGTAAACTTTGATGTTGGTTCTGCGCAAAAACTCTGTGGATGACGTAGCCGGAGTTATAAGCACAAGATATATTGCATATCTTTCACAATAGAAGCGGAGCCTCCGCGCCTACTCTTTCCGAAAATTCCTTTGCCTATGTCCTCATTCTCCTGCATCAGCTCGACCAACCGCGCAAGTTGCCTTTTGTTGCTTACAATTTTTGATCTGTAATTCAGAAACATACATACATATGTATATTTCACAATTTTTTACAACTTCCTGTTTAACTGACTTACTTTTTATCCATTATAGTAATACCTTCTTATTTAAATTGTACAAACGCAAACTCCAACGACTAAAAACAGCAATAGAAGGAGGAGCGATTAAAAAGTATTCACAGTCGCTAATTGAGCGACTAAGCGACACTCACAATAGCATCGATAATCGACCGTCGCTAAATAGTCGTTTATCTACTGCCAGTCGACATTCGCAATAGGGGTGCATAAGAAAGGTGACCCCGCCATTCGCGCCAACTACCGCGGGATCAGCCTTCTAAGCATAGGTTACAAGGTCTTATCGAGCGTATTGTGTGAAAGACTAAAGCCCACCGTCAATGAACTGATTGGGCCTTATCAGTGTGGCTTTAGAACTGGCAAATCCACCATACGCCAAATCTTGGAAAAGTCCCGCGAGAAAAGGATCGACACTCACAACCAATTTGTCGCCTTTAAAGCCGCTTTTGACAGCACTAAAAGGAGTTGCCTATACGCCGCTGTCTGAATTTGGCATCCCCTCTAAACTCATACGGCTGTGTAAAATGACGTTGAGCAATACCACCAGCTCCGTCAGAATTGGGAAAGGCCTCTCCGAGCCGTTCGCCACAAAACGGGGTTTCAGACAGGGCGACTCCCTTTCATGTGACTTCTTTAATCTGATGTTGGAGAAGATAATAAGAGCTGCAGAACTGAACCGCTCAGGAACAATTTACTACAAGACATATACCGATGACATATTGTTGTTGTAGCGGCTACAACAACCCCGCC